GGGAAATATCCTATACTCCTGCTTGAAAGGCTTTAGATCCATCAGGACTGTTGCCTAATGAAAACTTGTGAATCTTCTCTTCCCACTGAATTGCTTCTTCTAGCCCGGTGGTGCTATAAGGAAAGGACCATCCCATGGTGCAGGAATGAGCCTGGTATGCTTTTGGCACTGTGCAGGTATAACCCAAAGGCAAAGGCAGTTTCCAAGTGGAATGATTGAACTGGGAGAGGTTCAAAATGTAGGTAACCTCCAGGGAAGTGAAGCAGTGAGGGTTGAATAACAACACAAGAGGCAGTTGAGTGCTCCTGTGTGTAGATATCTGCCTTTCAGGGAAGCCTTCCTGTGGAGGAAAGCAACTTATGGACACTGTGGCTGACAGGAATTGAAGCTTTCAGTAAAATGGCATTGACATTTATATATATATATATGTATATGTATGTGTATATGTATCTATATCTATACATATATATCTCCCTCTGAATGGGGGCTACTTTGCTATTCGACATGAACCTAAAGTCTGTAATAATTTTGGTAATTCCTGCTATTCCCTGCTATGGGTAGTGCTTAAATAGTAAACTTAGAGATGGCCATGTAAAACACAAAGCAGGAAGGGAGAAAGTATTTATCCTGATGTGCAGAATGTCTCTCTGCCATAGCCTTGAAAGCACCTTTACAAGCTGGCAGTGCTCAGTAGTTGGAAGACAATATAACTAATCCAGACATGTTCAGCATGTAGAATCTCTCAGCCTTGGCATTTCTTCATTAGCAACAGGAGTTAGATTCCGTTTTTTTTTTTTCCCCCAAAGAAAAAAATCATATGAAAGTCCTTAAGTTAGAATCCAGGCTAAGATAACATGTCTGCTTCACAGAGTTTCTCTCTTTTGAACTTGGGCCGAAAAGAAACCATTTCACAGTGTCAAAAATGCAGGAATTGTGTTTGTTGCATGAAAGCTTTGCAAGAGCAAAGCCAAAATCTGAGCACTTAATTCCCCCCGCCCCATACTATTCATTTTTCCCTGAACTTCAGCCAAACTTCCAATTTGAAACTCATATCATGGCTTAGTGTATGGAAATTCCAATAAAATGAGTGCTGTCAGTTAGGAAGTAAACAATGTGAAATAATAAAAGTTAGAGTTAGTTGGACTAAAATTTTCTATTAGAGAAAAAAAATCACAAGATCTATAGCACAGTAACAAAAGTTGTCAGAATTATATAATCAAAGAAATACTTTTACACACACACACATATACATATATATACTTCTCCCCATTATACCTCCTACTGCTTTTTCTTCTCCTTTTCTCCCCAATATTTTCTGGGGGAGATGACATAAGTAATTTTCAGTCTCTTCTCCCAGAATAAAGTTTGCAAGAAGCTCACTAATCTTCTCTTTGGCTTTTGTGGGTAAACAAAAAAAATAAAATCTAAGTACAGAATCCCAGGATTTTCCCACATTTTTAAACATTTTATATTCCAGCATTCTGACACAGACAGAATCTACAGGACAGTTGAAACTGCTCTGTTTCTATGGAAATCAGTGTCAGACCAGTTAAAACAAAGCACATGCTTTACAATAATCACTAAATAGCAATTATTTAAAATAACATAGCACATTTTTCACAATTCAACCTCTATTTCTATGGATACAAGAATGAAAATAGTGGTAGAGAGGCCTCTCGTATTTTTTCTAATTCTAAATGGGTTTTGGATGCTGTAAGTTCTCACAGGGTGCTACAGATTTTAACTTCTAACAAGATGTTCAAGTGTGCAGTAATTTGAACTTGAGAGGACCAATTCTGTAAGCCACAGTGAGGAAACATTCTCATGCATCCAAGTAGAAGTTTGAGTGAATGCAGAGTACAGTACTTCAATCAGCAAGTTTAGAAGGAGGGGAAATATTTGCTGTTTTCTGCCATTTTTTGACTTGCTTCAGAGAGAGCAAAGTTAGCTAACAAGTACTGAGTTTTGTGGCCATGAGCTGCTTCTTGGCCAAACTAACACTGACATCATAGAGACCCCAACCACTTCACAAAAAAGAAGTAAGATGTAACCCACGAAGCTTTTAAAACCAATCCCCTCATGTTTCATTCTGAATGAAATCTCACTCCAGTTTCCTCACCACACACAGCACAAAGGTCCCTGCTCCTCATCCTCCTGAACGCTGCCAGTTGTGCTGGCACTTCTCCTGTACACAGATTATTTTTCTAGCAGTGCACCTGGCACTTGTATAGACACGAAGTAAGAGGCATGTCCCATCTCACAGAGCTTACCTCTGGAAACAAGAGAAAACAAGACCTAAGGTGGCGGAAGAAGAAATATACAAAAAAAAAAGTCCTGGCTTTGTTGCTCGTGCCCTCTTAAAGGAATCTCTCATCACTTCCGGATATGACTCTTACCCAAAAAGGCTTTGTGTCTTGCTTCTCAGCTTAGGAAGGACATCAGGACAGAGTTGCTGAGTGGACCACAGTCTTGGAAATCAGTCTGTTTGTTTAAGTGCCTTATTATGGATTTATGAGCCTGCCTTTGACTGGTTGTTGTCACTGTTTCCCCTTGAATATGTATTAAAGCTAAGATTTTCCAAAATGACTAATGATTGTGTGCTTGACATTTAAGACAGCAGCTTTTTAAAGCCACAGAATCAATGTCAAAGCACTGAAAAAGTGGTGGCTTTTCCAGGAGCCTTGAAAAAGTCAGGACTCAAGGTCTCTCAAGTTAGGTATGCAAAGGCATGGAAAACTGGTAGTATTTCAGAAATGAATATGATTATATGTTCATCTGGCAAAAATCACAGAAGTATACTTCAATTTACTGAAAACTGGGCAGCTCAGGAGTTACAACTTGACTCATCCACTGCTTACATCTGTTGAACGTGTAGGCACAATAGAGCAGATGAACTTTGTCTGAGACTGATGTCTCAGTCTTGGTCTCCACGAATGCAGCTTGCTGAAAAACAGATTTGGAGGAGGAAAATTGTCATAGATATAATAGAAAAAGAGAAAGAAAAGGATATAGGTTTCCAAATGCACAACGGCAGAACATGTAAGTGACCTATCTTGAAGTAAAACCAACAGTGAAACCAACCCTCCCCATCCTAATTAAAGCCTCTAACAGCTACTGAGGCAGTGAGGGGAGAGAATAATTGAGCTTCAAGTTGAAACTAAAATAATTTTCACTAGCTTTTTGCAGTATTTTTTTATAGTAGATCTCCTATGAAAGATGGTGTGATGGTAGCTATCAGGTTTGTGAGTCTGACAGCTAGGACTTTTACCTTGAAAATCTCAATATAGCTACTTCAAGCCTTTGGAAAGCTATGCTAAATCAAGGGTTTTTTTTTCAGTTCTATGAGCTCCAGTGTTCCTTTTCATCTCCTCAAAACCAAAGAAGCTCCCTCCTGAAAATGTTATATACTTTCCAGATTATATGCCTCCCAATTTTTGGAATTGCAAATGTGCTTGTATATCTGCTTACCTTCAATTAAGTTTCAAGAAAACTGTAAGGTTAAAACCAAGGACTCCCATCATGAAGAACAACCCACTAATAATGTTATATGGAAGAACTGAACATTCTGTGCCTTTACGCAGAATGTGCTATACTATGGTGAATTCCAAAGATGGCACTGCCATCTTAACAAGCAGAAAAATAGTTTGAATGTATTGAATTTAAGTATTTCTGGCAATAGGAATTACTGGCACAGCATGATGTACCTCGCAGCTTTCTAGCCAAGTTACTTTGAAAAAGCCCTTTTACCTAATATCTAGCAATTCATATTTTCGCATTTCCTTTTTTTCCCTCCAGTCTCACGTACTCCTTTTATTTAACCCTTTTGTGCCCTCTAACTTCACCTTCATACTCCACCACCTGTTCTCAAAATATCGCAGCATCCTCCATCAACATGAAAGCATTTGTTACTCCTAAACCTTACAGCATCTGCGAATGTTGCCCTCTTCTGGATCACGGTGGTTTTTTTACAGTATTTTACTCGGAACAAAAAAAAAAACATTGATCTACATAGCTGGTCTACTCTGGCCTCCAATCGGGAGGCCTGGAGGCACACCATCTATAATGCTGCCGTTTCCTTTGAGAACGCACGCAGGATCACCCTCGAGGAGAAAAGACAACGCAGAAAGAATCGTGACACCCAAGGAGTCTTTCTGCTGTGCCTTTTGCAATCGGATATGTCTGTCTCGTATTGGCCTCATAAGCCACCAGTGTGCTTGTAACAAACGCAGATAGAGCCCTTCCCAAATCTTGGTTCGCGAAGCCCAGCCATGATTACTCGGAACAACCTGGTCTAGTGGAAGGCGTCCCTGCCCACGGCAGGGGGGTGGAACTGGATGAGCTTTAAGGTCCCTCCCTACCCAGACCACTCCACGATAACTATTTTTAACTCTTTTTGCCACCTCGGGCACTGACTGTTCTGACAGTCCCTGCCCAAAGAGGCTCGGCCGCGCCGGGCGACAACACACGCC